TCCTGTCTTATTGACGCTTGGGATATGATCATAAAACAATTTTGTTCCAAGAGAAATTGTCTCATAAAAATCTCATTTAGAGAAAACTAAAGGGATAGACAAACAAGGTGAAAAAGTCTCTGATTGGAACGATCGAACCATTTGAAACTCTGCTTAGCTTTGTTTCAACGTCCATCATTGATGACACTAATCAGAACGTAGAAAGCTAATGAATTAACCTTTTGCATTTGATCTGCGTTGAATTCTAGCTTTTTTATTTTCTTTTGTTCTCATCGTTAGTCTCATATATCAGAATAATTCTAAATATTGAAATACTCTCGCTTTGAGATTTCAGCAAATTCAAATTAATTGCAATAATGCGTGTAATTCGTTATGTCTATATTTTTTGCTTTTATTTAAATAATTGGATAACTTTTATTGTTTTTTTATATCGTAATGCTTGCCTTAAAATACTGATTAAAAAAATCAAAGCTGCATCATATGATTTATAATTAAATTGTTATCGCGATCCCCTATGTGATTTCGTAGCAAATGATGGAGAGAGAAGAAAGAGAATACATACGGCGTGTTTCGATCAATTTGACGGTCATCCAGTGGATGATTGCATTATTCCAATTGTTTCTTCCACAATGTTTAACCGCGGAACAGATTCCGCCTGACCAACGGCGGGTTATCGGTCAGCCTTGGTTTATGACGGATGAATGCCATCCATATATTACGATATCAGCAATTTTTATGCCGCGTATAAAAGCGATGGAAACGAGATGAACATCGCGAATGAAGAACATCCGAAGAAAGAGATATCAACAGCAACCTTTAGGCGCACCTGCTAGGTCAGCGCATCGATCTCCGGAAATTCACGGCCCATTCTCACCCCCGTCCCGAGACCTTATTCTTCATCGCGTCTTCCCCCGCCACTTCCATGTATCATTGTCTTGCACGTCCGGCCCCTCGACAAGAATACGCGGCACAAAACGCCTTGTCCCACTATTGTCTCCGTTACACCCCATTCATGAAGCAGTTCGAAGCCTCTGGTCGATACCGAACTTAGACATATGCTACACTATCGTGGCCATTCGCACGTATATGTGCACGCACATTGATATCTTGTACTGAACTATCGGTGGACGAAATGGATTGTATTTTCAGAATGTCGATACATCGACGATCTTAAAGAACCAGGCAATGCCGACGTTTATTGTCTGACATTTCTAAAGAGCTTATTCGATGCGGATGCAGAAGGATAAAGGCATTCTCTTGAGACTTTTGTCTGTGTGAAATAAGAGGGAAAGGTGTCGAAAAGTGCACACGGATGTACATTTCTTTTTTTTAAAAGAAACGTCATACTTTATGGAGATCACAGTTACTTCGCGCAAAAAGCTATCAGATGCTACTTAAAAATTTGCACGAAATGTTGCCGCCAGTATCTTTTCATGAAATCTCCTGCGTTTAACGATGAACCTACGATACAAATGTTATGCCAATATCTAGATCCGGAAACGTACATGCCGTAGACGCGTGTTGTAAAAAACGTAGAATTTTATGAAGACTCGAGGCTACGAGTTTTTTTCTCAAACATTATTCTTACAAAGGCCCCGACATACAAAGTGAAGCAGTATGTAAGGATGGCCTGTAGTCTTTTACTGCGAGTAATTCATGTTTTTTTTTATTTTTGTTGCATTGTTGCGCGGGTTAACCCATTTTATTAAAATAAAGATACCCATAATAGAAATTATTTTAGTTAATGAAAATTGAATTAGTTAATAAATATAAAATTTTATATAAACAGTTTTTTTCTTGGCGCAGATAATTCTCGCAAACAAACACAAAAAGTAAAACTTTACTTTTTGCCTTTGTACAAAACAAACTAAACATTTCCAGTATATTTATCAAAATAATAGTTCACAAAAATTATAAAATTAATGAATAATCAAAAACTGAACTAGTCAAATTACGAGTTTATAAGTGTGTTCAACCGACGTGTCATTTCAGTGGTAATAAAAATGGTCATTCATAGTTTATTTTAAAAACATACGTGGAAAATAAAACTGTACAAAGATACGATCTCTCACAGATATCTCACTGTCTTGGAATAAGAAAAGGTAGCATGCCATTAAACAACGAAAAGTGACATTTACTGTTTCAAAATATAGGGATACGGATTAAACTTGGAGAAAGTTTAGGAAGATTATCGCTGATAATTACAAAGAATATAAATCTCTTTTTTTCTTGTAAGAAAGTCTTATTATTTTTTCAACAAAGATTATATAACTCCCTTGGCGACGATAACGAAACATAAATTTTATGCATACTTGGAAACACTTATCGAATGTTTACAAAACTTCGAATTTTAAGAAGATATTATCTTTATATTAAATCTTTACAAACACGTATATTTAAAATAGATTTTTGTAATAAATGCGTTGGTGAACGCGCGCGTCGTAAAAAAATGGAGATTGTATATTCGACAAATGTGCATTCTTAAAATAAAGAAAATATTTACGAACCACGTAATACCCGCGAAAAGGTAAGTTGAAAATTGTCTAACCAGGTCTCGCACCAGCCAGCAGATCTTTTTAACTTAGTCGCATCAGCGTACGTGAGTCGCGCGACGCGTATTTTATGCTAGAATTCGCACGAACACTTCAAGAATCCATTTCCATTCGTCATCGTGTCGATACCACTTTTTCTCTTTTCTCGCCATTGATCCTCTTTATCTCTCAAGATAATAGTAATTTATCACGAAGACTCTGTGCCATCCTGGCTGTCAGATTCGCGCGTCGACTATGTTTCTTTCTCTCACAGCAATATTACACGTTTCGCGATGTTAAGCCGCAAAGCTGTCATGATGTCCATGAAAAATGTAATATATGGGATTTAGTTCACAATCTGTTTCGCTGTTGCAGCGTATGATATTTATAGTAGTGAATCGAGATACTTTCTGGTTGCAATATAACTTTAGAAATCTTAATTTCATGTATTACAATACAGAAAAAAACGGACCATGCTAGTATGTCAAAATAAAGAAGAAATAATAGGCGTAAAAATATTGTTACGTCAAAATTTAAATTGAAGTGACAATTTATGTATATTGCATTAAATATTTACAGCTATTAATAATTATATCTTTGTCTTTATTCGATGAAAATGCATCAATTTGCATCATTAATGTTGATTTATTAATGTCAAGTTGTTGCAGATGTCACCTTTATTCATTAATAAGGTGAAGAGAGTAAAATTACATCGTTACGTAAATTATTTGTGAGTGGAGCGATATTATGACATTATGAGTTGTCCATTATAAAGGCGCAATTAACGATATTCATTACGAGCTGACAGTAACTACGCTACTAATTTGACAATTGATGCGAAAACCAGAATATGTGTCAACTGCAGCGTGAAACACGGCTGACATCTTAATTATCGAAGATGAATTATGATCGATGTAAGAGCGATATTCGTGCAACATCGATCAATAGAAAATGAATAGCAACATTTCACAATCAAAGCTCGATTAGGGAGAATAATTTTATATTATTTGCTTACAATATATTAAAATATAAAATTTTTCATATTACAAAAATTTTTAAATATAACGCGGATAAACGCTAAAATAAAAGAAAATCTGCATATTTATCATTTCATATAAAGTTGTACAATTGCTTTATAGATATAAATTATATTGGATTTGTAATATTATATTTCAGAAAATAAAAAATTTCAGAACACGAAAACGCGTTTCTGTGCCATCGCGAAAAATATTACATTTATATTTATTTATTCTTTCTCTCTCAAATGTCGAGTAATACTGACCTTATTTTATACGCAACAGGTTTCGAGCTCTATAATCGTGTTATAATTGCTAATTTTTTATCGTTTAATTTACTTTTTGGACGTACACAAACAGGCGAATTGAGAGCTTGGTTAACATCATGGGATGGTATCAAACTAGAATCTAGCAAGCTGATTGTCTCTGTAAACAGAGATGTTGCGAAAGACATGGATATGCATGACACACGACGTTCGTTAAGCCAAGTAGTTACGTCCAGAATGTTGTCAGACATGGCGCACTAGAAACGTGCTGCAAAGATGCGACGAACACTTGTTCAGTATGTAGTCCATGAAAATAAGTTTCTAACTCGATTCGAAAAACTTGGGAGTACTCTGCATTTCTACCAACTTTGTCATTCAATATCAAAATTTTAACGAAATATTTACAATGTTCCTGAACATTGATAGTATTAAATAAAAAATTATATATGTATATAAAAAATATCGTGAGATTCTAATATAATTTTTTGAAAAAATTCCTCGAATTTTCTGGGGAAGGATACACTGAAGATCCCAATTTTCTCTTCGAGAATTGGTTTCGACTTCCGATATTCTCATCGAGATCCAATGAAATCGTAACAAGATGTGAAGTAGGTAGATAGGTAGTGCTCATGTAAAAGTTGGATCGAGAAGAGTTCCCGTTTCCTCGTAATTCGTCGTTCCGCATCTCTGCGAGAAAACCCTCGAGTTTTTTCTCGCACTTTCAAGTTTGCCTCGGTCTCCATTCGCGTTGAATAATTGCTCGTTAAGGCGTCCTGGGTTTTCCTTCTCGCTCATCTTGGCGGTCAAACATTGCGCGAAGAACGTGCTACACTCAATGTTTTTTCTCGCTGTGGTAATAATGCCATTTGTAGCCATTCACTTCATTTGGAAGATGTACAATCTTTGTCGTTTGCACGTTGATGTTCAATTAATACTGGCTCCTCGAGTAATTTTCGCCGATGTCATCACAGTTTCGAATCTCATTCAAATGAAGAGGTTTCATAAGTAGAAAATTTACAATATTCAAAATATGAATGATATATTTGCGCTAAAATAATTCACCATGTTTCCCAATGATAAAAAATTTGATTCTTCGGAAAATATTTCTGTAATAAGTTATCGAAGATTATTAGAGTAGCTGGGGTCTCACGCGATCTCTATCGAAATTTCCACTTTTCTGCTTCTAGTGCGACTCTGGAGTGGCCGTGGACAGATTCTTTCATGCCTTGTACTCGACGAGAAAGAAAAATCTCATGCCATTCTTGCTCGGTACCGCTTGTTCCGAGGTCACCGAAACATTAGCCAAGATCGTACCCTATTGGAACGTGATTCAAGTATCGTTTGGCTCGACGGCACCAGCCCTCTCGGATTCCAACGAGTTTCCCCTGTTCCTGCGAACCGTTGCGCCTGACTCGAGTCATAATCCGGCCAGGATAGCATTGATCAAACACTTTGGATGGGACACCGTCACAGCTCTCTCGCAAACAGGCGACATGTACTCCTTGGTAAGTAGGTCGTAAGAAACACGAATGTTGCGCAGCGACAAAGCGAAGCAAACCAACTCTCTTTAATTTATCGGAGCAGTTTCGAGTTCAGCGGTTTTCTGTCACTTTAATAGTACACACCGGAAATAACTTGTATCGTATAATATCGACGGACATTATATTATTTTTTTCTCGAGATCGTACTCAAAAGTCTTTAATGTTTATATCATCCTATGTCATCCTAAAATCTTTAAAACGCGTGTAACATGTCTTGCAAAATTGTAAATGGAATTTATACACGCAATTGACCCAATTCGCTAATTTTTAGAATAAATGGGAACGCGAATAAAAAATGTTATCAATCTGCAGACTAATTGAGAAATTTCGTTCGCTGTATAATAACGTTGAAAATCGATGCCTTCATAAAGAACGGCATTCAGATGACGTTAATCACGATTTAAATTCATGCCAAAAATATCCACTTATAAATCCAGTGTCTACTCTATCGCAGCTTTTACCGTATAAATGTCGAGATCAGATGAAGTGGAATCCGATGGGGCCGACCATGGAAATACGGAGGAAACGCACGCGAGTAGGCGATAACGTAGTCGCGCGCGGGGACATTTCCCGCGTGATATATATATTTATATCTCTATCTCGCTTTACATAACCGCGTATTTAATTGCAAACTATACCACGGAAGTTCGTTTGTGTCCGATGTGACGTGCGGTCTATGTAGTGAAGTTTCCGTTATGTCGGCTTTAATTAACTTTCGATTTGTACCCACGCGTAGTTAACCAGAGCGCCGGGCGTTTGGTATCGCGTTTCGGTTAATTCTCGGTCAATTTCCGTCGTTACGTTATAACGGAAACTACCACACATCATATCCGGCTTTAATGTAGGCTAGACAATATATCACGGATAAAACCAGGAACATCGTATTATCAGGATTTTGAAATACGAGAGGGGAATTAATAAATTAACGATAAAAGACAATTTATACGTTGAAAACATACGTAATCTTTTAATCGTTATATATCAAACAGTCACGTAATTTTTTGGATTATATTACTTGCGACATCTTAAAACTTGACTTTCTTTCTTTAATAAAAAGAAATTCGATTTAAAAAATTTTCTTAACAAAACATGTATAATTCTTCTATGTTGAAAGTCAAGTAACAGTAATTAAGAAAATATTACGACGCATCGATGTATCAGTCCGCATCTCTAAAATCCATATCGTTTCCAAAAACTAGATTAAAACTATTTTAAAAATAAACAGTTTGTAGCCGACGGAACATCCTACATACAAATTGGTCTACATCATAAAGCATATATGTACCACATAGCATGTAACGCAAGAAAAGCAACTATAGCTTACACGTCGCTAATTAAACTGCGTTATATGAATGATGCGTTTTTCAGAGAAACGGTCGTAAATGCGAGATAAACGAACGACACGATAGCCCTTTTCTAGATAAACGAAGCAAAACTCACGTAGCGTTCTCGTGTGATGTACGATGCGTATTTGTAAAGGCGACGTGCGAGATTTTCGTTCCGTCTAAATAGGGGCAAACAAATGTCACATATTCGCGTTTCCGCATCTATTGCTGGCTTCGTGCTTCATGTGGCACGTATGACACATCTCTGTTTCAGGCAGTGAACGATCTAGTCACGGAACTGGAGCAGGCAAATATCACGTGCACTGCTACCATCACGTTTGCCGAGAACGATTATAAGGAACAATTGCGAACTTTAAAGGTAATAGTCGCCCTCAAATGTCACACTAGATCGTTTCTTCCTCTTTTTTCTTTACGATTCAACGACGAGTATTTGTAATGGTCGTGCAGTTAGATCCGATTCTGAAGGTGCTGGTTTATTCGACCAGCCGGTAGTTCAGATCGTCTTTGGCCGTAATTCGCCTTTGAAATGCAAAGTTGATTCTCACGAGATGATTCTCACGAGATAAAGTATCGATTGGCAGGGACGCATCAGGATTAAATTTGCACTTGCAGCATTAATATGCGCAGATTAACCCAATTTTTGATAAATGGGTAATTTTGTTGTAAACATATGTTAGTTGATATTTAACTAGGTAAAAAAGCACAAAACAATAATTTAATTAGAATTAACGCAAAATTACGATGCGAATAAAATTTGTAACGTACAATCATCTCTTTCTCTTCTTCTTTTGCTCAGTATCAATAATTGCAATCAATGTTTTCGCGTATTAATAATGCTTTATTAATCTCAAACTGAAACTTTCAATAAAAGATGTTTAAAATTGTTATTCTTTTCTTCTTTCTATTTTAATTACAGGAATTGGATACTAGGATAATTATCGGAAGTTTTTCACCACAATTGGCGCGACGTGTTTTCTGTGAGGTAAGTTGCAAAAACAAATTCGATTAAATAAAAATATCATTTTTGAAATATGAATTTTATGAAAGATTTTCATAAAATTATTATAACTAAACTTTTTCTCTTTCTTTTTATTTTTTATTATAAGAAAAAAAAATAAAGTCTAGAACTTTTAGCGCAAATACCTACAAAATGATAAAGAAAAGATTATATCCTTACAAATTAATTAATAATGCTTTTAATAACTTTCATTATACAACTCATGTAATTTCAACAAAGTTAGGTCATCATTTAGACTATTCATACATGTCCAAAGTTTCTATTGGCTTGGTCGAAATTTCTCACTAACCAAAAAAAATGTAATTTCGTAATTGTCTGCCAAAACGTTATTCGTTTTGTCGCGCACCCAACGACTGCGAAATTCGTTTAAAAATTTAACTCTCTCTCTCTCTCTCTTCACAGCGCTCATAGATTAAAACTATTTTAAAAATAAACAGTTTGTAGCCGACGGAACATCCTACATACAAATTGGTCTACATCATAAAGCATATATGTACCACATAGCATGTAACGCAAGAAAAGCAACTATAGCTTACACGTCGCTAATTAAACTGCGTTATATGAATGATGCGTTTTTCAGAGAAACGGTCGTAAATGCGAGATAAACGAACGACACGATAGCCCTTTTCTAGATAAACGAAGCAAAACTCACGTAGCGTTCTCGTGTGATGTACGATGCGTATTTGTAAAGGCGACGTGCGAGATTTTCGTTCCGTCTAAATAGGGGCAAACAAATGTCACATATTCGCGTTTCCGCATCTATTGCTGGCTTCGTGCTTCATGTGGCACGTATGACACATCTCTGTTTCAGGCAGTGAACGATCTAGTCACGGAACTGGAGCAGGCAAATATCACGTGCACTGCTACCATCACGTTTGCCGAGAACGATTATAAGGAACAATTGCGAACTTTAAAGGTAATAGTCGCCCTCAAATGTCACACTAGATCGTTTCTTCCTCTTTTTTCTTTACGATTCAACGACGAGTATTTGTAATGGTCGTGCAGTTAGATCCGATTCTGAAGGTGCTGGTTTATTCGACCAGCCGGTAGTTCAGATCGTCTTTGGCCGTAATTCGCCTTTGAAATGCAAAGTTGATTCTCACGAGATGATTCTCACGAGATAAAGTATCGATTGGCAGGGACGCATCAGGATTAAATTTGCACTTGCAGCATTAATATGCGCAGATTAACCCAATTTTTGATAAATGGGTAATTTTGTTGTAAACATATGTTAGTTGATATTTAACTAGGTAAAAAAGCACAAAACAATAATTTAATTAGAATTAACGCAAAATTACGATGCGAATAAAATTTGTAACGTACAATCATCTCTTTCTCTTCTTCTTTTGCTCAGTATCAATAATTGCAATCAATGTTTTCGCGTATTAATAATGCTTTATTAATCTCAAACTGAAACTTTCAATAAAAGATGTTTAAAATTGTTATTCTTTTCTTCTTTCTATTTTAATTACAGGAATTGGATACTAGGATAATTATCGGAAGTTTTTCACCACAATTGGCGCGACGTGTTTTCTGTGAGGTAAGTTGCAAAAACAAATTCGATTAAATAAAAATATCATTTTTGAAATATGAATTTTATGAAAGATTTTCATAAAATTATTATAACTAAACTTTTTCTCTTTCTTTTTATTTTTTATTATAAGAAAAAAAAATAAAGTCTAGAACTTTTAGCGCAAATACCTACAAAATGATAAAGAAAAGATTATATCCTTACAAATTAATTAATAATGCTTTTAATAACTTTCATTATACAACTCATGTAATTTCAACAAAGTTAGGTCATCATTTAGACTATTCATACATGTCCAAAGTTTCTATTGGCTTGGTCGAAATTTCTCACTAACCAAAAAAAATGTAATTTCGTAATTGTCTGCCAAAACGTTATTCGTTTTGTCGCGCACCCAACGACTGCGAAATTCGTTTAAAAATTTAACTCTCTCTCTCTCTCTCTTCACAGCGCTCATATTTTTAAATATTATTATCAATTACCTCAATTAATTATCTTGTGACGACATTATTTGCGTTATCTCTTTTACAATTACCATCAGCGAAGGGATAATGAAATGCTCTTTCACAAGTACATTTTGTTGCTTCAAAATCAGATTTTTGTAAAATTTAATAATTGTGTATTGGCATTATAATTATGTGAATTAACACACTACTCTAAAAAATAAGTAGATGTCCATTCGAAATGTTCAATCATTCAATACGTCATTGAACTCGAAAATGCTTTCGTGTCAAGTATTACGAAAACAGTGCGCGCAATAAATTTTATGGAAAAATAACATCCAGAACATGGAAAATACTTCCATGTCAAATATTAAAGCAATACGATGAATTTGATTGAAAAATAGTGCATCCATTATAACCTGAATTTATGATATTTACTAGATGATAAGAATTCACTCCGTACTTTTCGTCCACGCAGTACATCAAAAATTCCCTTCAAACTTTACAAAATGAAAACGTTCAGCAATCCCTTGCAGCGTGGATTTGTGGATTTTACAAACGCCCGAATTCGTAGAAGCAACACAACTGTGAATTTTTTTTGTTGCAAATAATTACAAAACCGGAGCGAAAAGAAACTGGAACACTCCTACGCTTTATTGTATCATGAAATTTTCTACAATGTTAAACCATTAAGCGGAACTTGATTTTCCTATGAAAATGTATCATACACGAACAGTATATACAAATATACAGCAGTCTCTTTTCTCTATATTACATGATATAACTCTGCTACATATCGTATAAATGTATATTTGTCTTTAAGCGAAGCGTAGAAAGTGGATATCAAATGTATCAGATACGTATTATCAATAACCATATAATGCTACGAAAGCATAAGCATATAATGCCAATGGGACGCAGAGTTTAGCTTCTCTCCTCGCTCCCTTTGTAATTTAAGACCGAACCATTCGCAAAAGCTTTCGGAGTTTTGTTTGTAGTGCGAGTTTTGAAGTATATATCCGACTCGCATAGTGATGAACATGCAGATGAGACACTGGAATATACATAAACAAACAAACAAAATGATCCATTGAGAGAAGCATCTTGCATTTTAGATTGCGATATACATAAACCATATTGCGATCGTTATTTCAAAATTATCAAAAATGAATCAATGAATCGGTAACGCGTAAAATCACAACATGAAACTTAAAAAACTGATTGAAAAATTACTATCGTTACTTAGCATTAAAGAAATGGTGCGAGCTTCATAAATAACATTGTTTTTTTATATTCTTCTTGCTAATGTACATAACAACCAGTTTTTTCTTGCAAATCCTTCATATCAATTCTCGTTCGCAATTTCTTGTTTACATAATGTGCGACTCGGCGTAGCTGCAAATTTTCTCGCAAACACGTATATGGAATGTTGACAATTTGTTCAATTATTCAATCGAAAGCTAAAGAGCTTGAAAATCGATGTGTATGCCAAAAGAAATATCATAAAACAATAAAAGAGTATATTACATGTATATTGGCGTTCTTCGCCTTTATGGAATAATAGGGGATGCCGTTGAGCAGAAAATGTCTGATATAAAACAAGTCCTAGCTACTGATAAATTCTTTCATTATAAATGAGATGGGATCCAGAAAAGAAAATGTCTGATATAAAACAAGCCTTAACTACTGATAAATATTTTATATCAGACACATATCCCACCGGAGTTTTGTCCTTCGTCGAATCTTTCGACTTTGGATGCTGGGCTACTTTAATTTATGTTTTGGTGTTACATCTCCGTAATTGTCATTAAAATTAATTGAGGCACAAAAGGGAGAAGAATAATATTAAATTTTCTTGTATCTTTGAGGAAAACTCAGTAGATTGCCTCGTTTTTTATGTTAAATTTACTATAATTTAATTTCTACGTAACATCGCTATATGCATCGAGCTTAAATTACATTCGGTTCGTTGCATCCCGGAATATATACGCTACTTGCACCTTTGCCACAAATTACCAAGTTGCAATAAGTCTTTCTATTCCCTCGCTCTCTCTCTCTCTCTTTCTCTCTCTTCCTCTCTCTTTACCGACTCTGCGTGCGATGCTTTAAATCGTGCTGTTTAGTGTTCCAAGATTTTATGGTTCATTTCCTGAGCTTATTCACGATATTTCCACAGCTGCATGTCCATGCAAGATTAACTCTCATCTATCTCAAAATATTAAAAAATTTATATTTTAATGATAGCACACTCGCATGTTCGTTTATAATAATGTGTGTTTCTCTCATGCTAGAATATTTTTTATTTAGATATTCTAAAAAACAAAAAAATGATTTTAAAACAGATTTTTTAGTGTAATTGTTGGGCAAATACATTCTAATAATAGCTTACATAATTTTAAAAATATTAGCTTCGTTATTAAAGAAATGAGATATTTCTTTTTATTCTGAGATTTCAGCAATGAGAGACAATCTAAATAATTGCGCGTTTGGACTAATTCCAACATTTTCTCACTTGCGCTATTATAAGTTGCCTCATTTTCATTTAGCGGACATTGCGCGCTATGCTGTACAGTCGAAGGACAGGCCATTGTATTACAATCGTGATCGTGTGTGCCCACGTCAGCGTCCGATGTGCACGTTTGCATTGAAGTATGTATATCGGTTTGCTTTACAAGTTAACCCAAGCCAGCACGTAACATACATGACATCTTACGCGAACCATATGACACCTTAAACCTCGACAATAGTGCCTATTTCTCTTCGACTGTCACGATCATTCCTACGCAAAACTTCAACGTCACATGCAAGGATAATTTTAGATTATACGAATATTCCTTGACCCATCCTACGTAGGGGAGAAACGGCAAAATTATAGGACTTTCAACGTTAATATCACAATATTCGCAAAATACATCGGCGCATCGCACGTGTTTCTCTGCAAATGGAGGTCCTCGGATAGGATTCTCAATATTCCTCATATCGGTCAATTACATAAACGATGCGTGAAAATGAATTTCCGAGGATTAATAAGGGTTTCGAGCACAAAGAGACGACCCATCTTGGATAGCCGTATATATCGACAATTCAATTGCCATCGTTCAAGAATTATCGTTAGATCGATACCGAATCGTGCTTCCCTTCAAACGACTCATCCGGTCGTTATTCGTCGTTTTTTGGCGACGTTTAATATTCGTAAGTCACGCTCGCACCGTTTATATTACGGTTACATAGGGATAGACATTGTCTGTTTCCTTCTCGACACAATAGTACAGCGAAACGAGAAAAAGAGTGTAACGCGGAACGAAAGATTAATATCTTGTATAGAAGCTGATGGATTGATATGATCATTTTTTATAAGCGAACAAAAGGATTATATTTTGTGCCTTTATAGGTCGTTATGAACGTAATCATTGTACAACAGCGAATCGATATCTTCAATATGGATACTTTTTTATAAAAAAAGTGCTCTAATACTTTTCTATATTCGCTTTAATATTTTTTGTGGGTGACCATATGACTAATATAAGACGTGATACGCATTTGAAGAATCTTCTTTTTATATATTTTTGTACGCTTATGTTCCGATAATATGTAATCACAATTTATATTAGATTATTGCAATTTCTCTTTTTATGGTCATTGCACGTTTTTCTAGTTAATCCAGTTCCGGATAATCGTGATCTCATCATGCCATGTAAAATATTAGATATCTTACTATTTAAACCTTTAAACCATAACAATAACGTATATCCTTAACTTATATCCTTATTATAAGTACCTTGCAACAGCTGTATAAACCGTAACGTTGGTATAAAAGTCTATTTTTACGATTGATTCATAATACAACAGATTGAAAGAAAAAAACCGATAAAAAATTTAGTATTTTTTAAAAATTTATAGCAAAATTATAACACGTGAAGCAATTGAAAGAATTTTTGGGTGGAGTTCCGAATAGGTGAACCCTCTGATTTTTTTGAAACTACACTATTTTTTGTATTTTTGAACGCTGATTACGAATATGATAATGAAAATTTGCGACAAGGTCATTTTCAAGGTCAAAACTCAAAAAAACTGAAAAAATATAACTTTTTAAATATTATTTCGATAAATATTGATGTAAGAAAAAAATGTGTCAAATAAAAGTTGTAGTTCTTGTAAAAATACATCATTTATGTTCTATACATTTTTTGCGTAAAACTGAAAGTTTTCGAGAAAATCGATGTTAAAGAATAAAAACGGCAGGTGAAGTTCCGAAAAGTGCTCACCTCTGATTTTTTTGAAACTCAGTATTCTTACGTATTTTGATGCACTGATTACGAATATCATAATGAAAATTGGTGCATCTCTCATTTTCATAGTGAAAATCATGAAAAACCCATAACAATTTTAGATCTTACAGAGAAAAACATTTTATGTCCTATTAATTTTTACCGTACGATAGTTTTCAACAAAAACGATGGAATCTAAATCTTATATCTGTTCTCCCATCTAAGCATGTACTTTGCAGTACATATACGATTCCACATGGGTTTACAACTTTCCACGTAGAGCGAGGTTCCACGCAAACCTATTTGTCTAGTTTTTCGGTAGTGGAGCCCCCCGCAGGGGGGCGGAACCCACTGTTTCCACGCATACACTTTTTCACGCGAAGCCAGGTTCCACATGGGTTTGCAACTTTCCACGCAGAGCGAAGTTCCACGCAAACCTATTTGTCTAGTTTTTCGGAACTTCACCCGCCGTTTTTAGTCTTTAACATCGATTTTCTCGAAAACTTTCAGTTTCACGCAAAAAATTTATAGAACATAAATAATGTATTTTTTTAAGAACTGCAACCTTTATTTGAAACATTTTTTTGTTACATCAATATTTATTGAAATAATGTCTAAAAAGTTATATTTTTTCAGTTTTTTTGTTTTGACCTTGAAAATGACCTTGTCGCAAATTTTCATTATCATATTTATAATCAGCGTTAAAAAATACAAAAAATAGTGTAGTTTCAAAAAAATCGGAGGGTTCACCTATTCGGAACTTTATCCGAATTTTTTACTGCAAGGGATTTTTTTAAAACAATTTGTAATTTCCCACCTGCGCGATTTCAATCCCGTTTCTCTTTTTTTTATGCTTTATGTCGATAATTGCCGATGACGCGTACGTAACGAAGATACGATTTTCCAGCGAAATGGACGAATCTTCACCTATTGATCAATTAAGGAATGGGGATATTCTGAAGCGGCGCATGTTGAATCGTGCGGTTCGCTGCAAATCTATTATTCTGTATTGGATGATAAGTTGTTTCCAGAAAGTAACGGATAATAATATAATTCGGGCATCAAAACCGCAATATTGCGATACACATGTCGAAGAATCGATCATTTCGGGGAAAAATATATCGCTACACGTGCCACCTGTGCCATCATTTACTGTCGTAATTGTATAATTATTGAGATTAGATCGAGAACGAAACAGAAGAGATTTATTCAATTACTAGAAATTCGCAGGAGGATGAAATCTCTGCTATAATGAAAATTGTACAAAAACATGCAAAAATAATAAAATATCCGTGGTTCAATATTTTTTAACGATCAATTCCCTTTCTTCCATCGCTGCGGAGAGATCACGTTATAGGATATACTAACGTTATCGAAAAACCATACTTTAAGTAAAGCGAAAGCACGCAACACTACCCACCTCTTCCTTAGTTTAGCGCCGGACCACAAATAATCCCAGCCATTAACTGCGCTACCGCGGCCTTTTGCGCTGAAGTAACAACTTTTTATTACCACTTTTAGTGTACTGGCTGTTACGCTTGTAAAAAAACGTAGCAACCTGATTTACGAGAATGCACGTGTTCGATACTTGCCGACGCCTCCTTCTAGATTCTCTAAGAACTGATACGCCTTCTTCATTCGTGACAAGTTGTGTTCTCGTGTATTTGCTATATTTCGCTCACCAGTGACAAAATATATCATTTTAAAGAACGCGAATTTTTGTACGATGAAAATTATTCCACAAGTACACGTACTATCAAAATTGATAATTTTTTATACGAATAAAAGAACAATAACTGAATCAAATATTTTAGTTATTCTCCCTAAAATTTGCCTCATATTTAGATTTTATATATAAATTTTACCTGGCTTTATATAATATTTTTTAATACCTATTGAATAATTGTACATGTATAGTATTGTTAAGAATACAATTAAACAGGAAGATTACTTAGATCTTTCTCTTAATAAAGATTTTTGGAGTTATTATTTTACAGGTACATTAAAAAATATATTTCAACCGTTACTCCGCGCTAAGAATAATTATTTAGATGTCTCTCGTGTGTTTAACTTTTCTAAACAGTATATCACACACATTATATAATTATTTCATAATTATTATCCTCTTTATACATATAAGTATATCGCCTCATAGATGATTATAATCGTATTTTATATTTCGCGAAGAAAATTAATCAATTGTGTCTCAAGACGAATATACAGGTATAATCCATTGAAAGAAGAAAGCGTCGAGATGCTCTCAAAGTACAATTTCATAACGACGACCTACTTCATCCGCTAACTTGACCGGTAAAGCAAGAAGACGATATAAAATGCCTTAGGCAGATATTACAATGCTCAAAGTACACCCGGCAGAGCCATGAAACTGGAAAAGTAAAAAGAGAATTCTAGAGCAGAAGACGGAGAATGCCGGGAAGTAAAGGCAACAGGAAGACAAGAGGGAGACACATGACGGTTTATATTTTACAGACATTCTCCCGCGAAGGGTCCGCGGACAACCTTTTTCTCGGCGTTATTTCTCATTATACGGAACATCCAACATCGTTACGCGATCGTCATAAATATTTCCAGTGACCGACATCGCGATCGTCGTCGATCCCTTTCCGGAGAGAAGACCTCGCCAGATGATATTATAAAATCTGATCGGACGCGCGATTGCGATATAATCCCTCTCGCGCTCTTCAGTAAGTCGATCAAGTAAAACTGATCGAAGCGATGAATTCGTGATCGTCCTCGGCTATCTCGACGAAACATGCAATCGTGCAGAATCGATCGCGGTAATATGGCACTATCGGCGCAGCATTATGCTTTCGCGCCTATTGTTCGCAAACGCGACGAACCGAAGCAATGTTCTTTTATAACCCCGTGTGTTTAATTTTGTTGCCGGAGAGAGTTTTGTCAGCATATTCTGCGCACAGCATTAAACAGCGAACTCATCTAGAATAAATTTTGCAAAAACGTGTTTATAAAATCTTTTACCTTGTGAATCCTTTTTATCATAAACTATGATTTTTTCAGGCCTGGAGACTCGGGATACACGGCGGTGATTACGCTTGGATATTGCCAGGTGATACCGTCGACTCGTTGGGGATGACGAACGATTGGCGTGTCGGAGAATGTTCGCCTTCTCAGCTGTCGCAGACTCTGGATGGTTTAATCATCGTCAGGAGTCACGCCACGGTCGTGGGAGACGAGATCAGCGACTCGGGATTGGTACGTCGTTTTTGCGAAATTTTCCGGATAAACCTCTAAAAGTGTTAGTAGGGCTTATTAATAAATGGCTAATAAAAAAGGCTACCATTGAATTAATATAACATCAGCGTAAACTAATTTCTGAACAACATGTATAAAATTCTCCAAGTTTCTCTCCATTTTCATCTATCGTATCCTTTGATCAATTTGAAGTAGGTTTTTCCATTAATAAAAATTGCATTTGCAGCAGTTTATTGAATACATTTATGTAAGCACATTTAATAAAAAAATAGACCGTCGTTTCGGCCATTACTGCTAACGATAACGGCGAGAATTACGGAATTTTACGTAACTAAAACGTTACTAAAACGAAAACGAAAACAAAAATGCGACAGCTTATTGTTAGTCACGCTGTAACAATAATACTCATCGCTGCTGCTGCTAGCATAATAAATGAAGTCCCGCGAGCGAAAATTAGAGTATGCAAGCAAAGAAAGCTGAATGTCTTGTGACGAACTCACCTTTCCATTCTGTTCCATTAAAAAACTTGTGCCGTAAACGTAGAACAAAGTAGAAACAGACGCGTAGGGACCGATGGGACGCGCGAGTACCGCCTTTTCACACGTTAGACCTTTTAGCGTTGGGTCTAATCGGTTTAATGACGACAAGCCGTCATAATTGACATTATCGTACCAACTAAGCCACCATCAGTTTCGAATATTCTTGAAAATAACAAGTCGTCAAAATAGACAGACGAAAATAGACTTTTCGCGAAACTGTCGTACGTAGATCGTGCACATCACACTTTTCACACATCCGATTGGCATTTCTCCCACGAATACTTTTCCAATATAGATCTGTCCCGAGTATGCCGTGGGACACGGCTTCCTCTCGCGATATCATCATGAATAATTTTTACCGCGTGTATCTGTGTAATTTCTCGTTCCACCGGGTGGAAAAAATAATTATGTTTGAAATACGGAAACTTTAATGACGCTATTAATAAGCGTGATAGAGAGAGCGTATTTTTTTATAGCTTTGAATGTTAAAATTAAAATTTTGTACTAATAGAATAAAAAAATTTATTAATGCCAAATTCGTATAATATCAAACCGAAAATTTTCTACAAATGTGATTTATCATTCATAAATTATATGTGTTATGTAACATATATGTAACATTTAACCATATTAATTAATAACATCGAAGATAGCAAGTTTAATATTCTCTTGAAAGTAGTCGTATAACTTTTTAGCCTATGATAGAAAAGATTTGCGTTCCAAAAGTTAAGCCGCTGGAAGAGCATTTCAAATATGCTGATATGAACATAAAGGGGAAAAATCCGATATTATATCATTTTCCCTTTTAGTACACAATTGTCAAAGTTCTGATTCAGAGCATAAAATTATAAATGCAAGTGTACACTATGTGACGCTGCGGTTATTAGAGAAATGGTATTTTGACTATTTCTCTCTCTTCTAGCAAACTTAATATAACGCATACAGGAAGGTTCAAGAATACTTATTATGTGTTAATCTATAATAAACCACGATCTGTAGTTACTTAATCAGAATTTGCTGCGGTAAATTTAAAAAATCAGAATTTATCATCCTTGTACTTATTATGCAAATTTATCCCGACGATTAATCGGATTGCGACAGCTTCGCTGATCCAACTTGTGGCATCCTCATCACGCCTGCGATAAAGATAACATTATTAAAAATTACGATCGTTTCTTCATGTCAATATTTTGTAGATTTTGATATCGAATTGATAAATGTTAAATTAACGAGAAATTAAATTCTTTTTCTTTATGCTCGCGCCATATTTTTTTTCAAATGAAAGTACGTGGGTCTCGTTGATGCAAACGACAAATTAAATTAACGTCCGCTCGACCGTCGATTCAAACTGTTCTCTCTCTCTCTCTCTCTCTCTCTCTCTCTTTCTCTCTTTCTCTACATGCTTCAATTTTTTTAATTATACGACAGAGTTTGCAAATGTTTCGCGAACCGTCCGACACGCTTCATGTGCCATTCTCGTTTATTTTGCAGACCAGTGCGAAATTTACTTCAGAGCTGGTTAACAGAGGCGTTGCGCACTCGAAATTTGCGGGACAAACATACGACGCCGTGTGGGCCATGGCACTCGCCCTTGCTAAGACCGAGGTCCTCCTCAATCGACAGAACGAGAGCATGGCGTGGTACACGCATACGAGAAAGGATCTCACTTCCCACTTACTGGAGCAGCTGAAACTGCTGCACTTTATCGGAGTTTCGGTGAGTCGGGACAGACGAAAGATAAATAAAGCACCGAGAGTGGCCGTTTATTACGTACATCCGCAAAACTTGAGAAACGTCACGAAAAAGTACAAAATTACTTCACACAAATCCGTATACACGAGACGTTCCGCAACTATCTACATCCTTTCGCGTCTATAGATTCTTCTTGCCTAGTTAAAGTCGATTCTTCTTTAATAAGAATGTCGAACGATCCTCGTTCTTTTGAAGTTTACTTTTAATAATTGAAGATGAAAAACTTTTTTTGATAAATTAAGTTTAATGTTATAAGATATGTATAAAGTGTCGAGAGATTGTAGAATATTATATCTATCTATCAATTTTTCTTGAAGTGACAAATTTATAAAAGAGGACTTTTATAATCCGCACGAAATCGATATAACAATATCATTAATTTGTATTAGCTGGTGGTCTATAAAAATAAAAACGCATGACTGGGTTTACGTTGCGCTAACGAAACTCTAATTATCTTTTATATTTTAAATGATATGATTCCAATATTCTGTCGTTATTTTGCGACAAATTTGTTCATACATTTTTCATATATTTTATTCTCGTCGTGTTTGCAGGGACCGGTTTCCTTCGACGATGCGGATCGCGTGGGCATCACGGCGTTTGATCAAATGCACGGTAAGTGTAATAAAGATATTTAAATAAAAGATATATTTTTGTAAAATGCTATGTATTTCTCCGGACATAACCCACGAATCTATTTTCTGGAGTTAGTAAGATAGAATTATCAAATTTAACGAGTCGATTGACGCAAACTGAAGGATCAGGGAATTATTGGTTTAGCAAGAGATTTGGCACGATAAACGCCATTTGTTGACACAAATCGAAACTTCACTGACGAGTCACTGACACATTTCACCAGATGCTCTCCGGACTTCACGCTTCATCCATTCGACACCAATGTCAATAACGCCGTTAAACGTACAATGAGCGGGAGCTTACGCCAGGCAACACGATAAAACGATACAACTGGGTTGAAAGCACAGACAATGGCTTTGGCTTTAACGATGCGGTATATTGCGTATACTCTCATTGGGGACAATTGGCGCGTGGACGCGCACATAATCCAATTTATGAGTTTTCTATTATGAGACACACGTCTAGCATCCCGCTAATGCGTTTTATTTACGAACATTTCCGTGCCATGTTTTAGAAACTCGATCTATCATAATCGCAGATTCGCGACATAGCGTCTCACGTATAATATATATTCTCTTCAATAGAAAACGTTAAATTTTTCTTTCAAAAATCGCTTTATATGTTATGTGTGATCGTTTATGTGAATCTCGAAACGGTATTATTCTCGTATGCTTGCTTTGATATGAAGAGCTCGAAAGATCAATTACGCTCTGTCATCGATATTTCGCAAATTGCCCCAATCTCATATTTTTGCAAGCGTTGTTCGAAATATCTCATGCATTTAAATGAACTTCCATGATAACCATGTTTCGTTTCAGGTATATTGAGCAATTTTTGTTAAAAATTAATCAATTATTACAACTTTACTATAAATGATAAAAAACAAATCACATTTATATATTGTTACCATCGTTACAGAATGTATAATAAATATTTTTAATTAATATACAAAAGAATATTGATACATGCGAAAATAATTGTAAAAACTGCGAAATATAAAAATAATGTGTATGTGTGTAACGATGTGATCAAAAATATATAAAACTGCTACGCTTCTAATTATAATAGTCTCCCGCGTCGCTTTGTTGAAACTCGCGCTCGGCGTGCTCGCGTTTAAAAAATTGTACACTGCAACACTACGCCGCTCTTAAATTAAAAATTAATCATTTTTTATTGTTAACGTTACAATAACGCTGTCGTAGCATTTGGATATAACGTTAATTAATACAGGAGGACATTAGCAGAGAAAGTCGCGCGATATACACTGACGTCGCACCGCGTGATGACCTTAGCCCTGTCATTTCTTTTCTCCGTAAATGTATCCATGTAGCCGCGCATATGTTCTGAACTAAAAATTTAGTTTGTTAACATTATCGTAATATTATTTAATTGCAATTATATAAGTTTCTCTCTCTCTCTCTCTCTCTCTCTCTCTCTATATATATATATATATATATATATATATATTTCACTAAAATACTGTCATTTCAGATGTACTTTATATACAAATAGAATTACCCGCATTTGCCTTAGAAAAGCCGCAAAGAGAATTGAATGTAGATTACATCACGGTAACCGGCTCACGTTTCCATTTGTGTTAGTCAGAGATAAGCTATTTTTTTAAGCCCTTTTGTCAATTTTCCGTGTGGCTTGAGGTATTATGTCACAAGGTTTTATTGATTCAAACCTTTCATTCGTAAAATGAAATCTTCGTTTACATTATTGTACGAATTATTAATCCGTATAGGATTTCGAATTTACGATGATCCATTTGTTGCTAATTTTGCTATTAATGGATAAAACTCGCTTCGCTATATCGCTAACAAATAGGCGTGAAAACTTCTTGCGACATTCCCATTCGTCCGAGAGGAGCTTCTACGAGAAATTGCATAGACTTCGCAAACTACTAACTTGACGTAGCTCAACTGTGCAACTACTAACTTCGTTCGCAAAACTGGCATTGAATTATAAAACTGAATGCCTTTTGTACTTAAAATTGCAATCAGATATCTCTTGCGATGTGTACTATTAAATTCTTATTTTAGCTCTTCAGTTTTAAAGATCAAATCAAGATTAGATAATTGTATCATATATTTGGCATTTCAGTTAAATCATCAAGATAATAATTATTTATTATATTCTATTCTGCGCATAATGCCTATTATTTCGTGTTTCCTAATGCTATTTACAAGTGCAATGTCATAATGTGAAACCGAATGTCTCCTGCAAATTGGCTTAACAGGAAATCGATATGTATCGATTACTAGTATTGTGTAGCTTCGAGTTAAATCAAATACTGGTCCCTGTTAAACATGCATTATTTATTGAAGTAGAATATAGACAATTTTTAGTTTTCAATATTGTTATAGGAAAATGTTGAACAAACATTCTACAAAATTTTACATTGCTTTCTTTCTCTCTATCAAAATTTATTTTCTTTTCTCAGGATAAGATTTATGAATTTTATTTTTCAATATAATATAAATCTAAGACTATATATCTTTAAGAACTGATTATTGTGATTTTAGGTCATTCCGATTCTAGGTACATTCGCTGGTTGATAATCGAATATATTATATACATACACATACATTATGCGGTGAAAATCGACTCATCTACCTTAGCCTCAATATTTAATTCCAATCAATCACAATCACGTTAAATCCATTAGAGACCTCTACTTTCTCTATAGATTTCCAATATATGTGGCATCAAGTCTTTTAACATATTCAACCATTTACCGCGTGATATTCCAATATTGAAAAAAATATAGTTTTTTTTTTTTTTATAGATGCAACGGACTGAGAAATTGCGTGAAAAAGTTTTTTGCAGAATTTATTTCCTGAAATAAATTTGACTAATATTTGACCACCAAATATTTTTGGCCTTTTGTCGATTTGTTTGTTTTTTATGACAATAGCTGCATGTTAATTTTCTCATTTTATTTTGTATGTATGTATGTAACAAATTCTTTTTTCTACAAGCGCACAGTAAATTTGCTTAAATAAAAATGCTTTGTATAATTAATATAAATAAATGTTAGCTACGCGATAAGAAATCTGAAAGCTAATTGAATATATATAAGCGGAATATTTCGGGATTCTTCCGACGCGTAAAATTCATTTATGGTGATGAAATCTTTGCTCAGCAATCTTATAGAAAAAAGTTAATTAACACTGTTAATAATTAGAAAATAAAAATGAAAGAATATGGTCAGAACTATAAAAAAAAAGCGTAATAGATTAGACAGAACTGTCAAAAATTGATCAACGTTTCATATAGATACGTTAAAAATGTGGCGGTATGCCTTTAACTGGGAGAGATAAATTAAATTTGCACATCAAATCGCGATTCGTGGGATTCCGATAACGGGGCGAAAATAAAAGCGACCAATTGCATATTCAATTAGTTTTTTGCAGCGTCACGTTAGAGCATTTGCGTTTCGATGCACGAGTCGACGATTTCATTTTTCCGTCGCACAAGTGGAATTTTCCGAGGAAGATTCGCTCTATGGCGGTTAAGAACGAGAGAAAGAAAAAGAGAGTAAGTTAACAGATCCTGAAAATAAAGAATCACCTAAATCCCTTGTCGGCGCCAAAGTTTAACGCTCGTAAAGGGTTTTACACGAGTTTCCGTTGGAACACGGAGCAGGGCAAACATCAGTTCGGTCGATGTCGCGGTTTATATATCCTTGCCGGATAATGGCAAAGTCGTCTGAGTCCGTCTGAGATATAAGCCATGAGACGCGATCGTCATCGTGAATCTCCCAGTAACCCGTCTAATAATATCCGGCGTTTTATCGACGGTATTTTATACATCGGCAAAAAGTCAATTAGACATTATTAGTAAAAATGGACACTCTTGTCGAAATCGACAGGAAGAGAGGCGTGCAAAAGTTAAAAGATAAGATCAAACCGAAATGCATTTTCAAAAAAATATTACTTGGCTAAACTAATATTTTTATCATGGAAGTCATATGAAGTTAAATTTGACGTATGTTTATCGAATTATAATCAATAATAATGACAACTTTAGTCGAGATAAAAGAAAAGAAATATGTTACGTCATGCTAATATTATTATTATTATTATATAATCCGATGCTAAATAATTTGACGTTGAAAAGTGAGCTTTTTTAATTTGCATTACTTGCAAACTGCGGGTAATTAACGTGTTAGTAATTACGCCTGCGTCAAATATCTCTCGTGCATCGTGGTAATAATGCAAAATATGGCGCTGCAAAACCAAGAAATATCGTAATTGCTTTCGCATTGTTCCCACCGGAAATGTCCACACACATGTCCTCTCGCTGAAATTTCAAAATTTATTTTATACGAGAAAACGCGCTGATGAAATTACGGTTCAATTTCAATCGGATTAACTATTTGGATATGATAAGATTTCACGTCTGAGTTGTCAAAAGAGATCAAGAATTATTTTATGTCATGTGTATTCGCATGTAACATCCATTACCCTCGGTCGAAAATTGCGTCATTAAAATGCAGGGGCTAAGTACAACATCGTATGTTGGAAACGGTGCATTTCCGAGTGTGCATGAGTCGAAATTTGAATAGCCATCAAATTTCGCCAAAAATCTAAAATATAGAACCGAATCGTGTTCAAAAATCCTGCGCGCGGTAAACAAGATTTGCGAGACGGATGCGGCGATATAAAAATTTACGGGCGTGGAATTCACGGATGAGGTACATCGGAGATTGTCGTCGAATTTTTCGCGTAAATCGAACCGCGCGATAATCGATACGCGCCACGTCAAAGAATCCGGGCGCCTTGCGCGAATGCACGGGAACGCGATCCATCCGTCGCGAGATTCGAGATCTGTCTACATCGGCGAGATTCGAGATCCACGGTGCCGCCCCGGCAATGGCGAACAATGGGTCAAGAGTTCTCTCTCGCCAGCGCAAACAATGCCGACGCATAATTCGAGTGGTCCGCAGAAGCACCGATTTGCGGTATGCTTAC